TTCATACCCGTGGTGGCAATTGTCTCTCATCACCCCGGAGACCAGCTCTATCATCCAGGGGATGGAGAGAAGTCAAGGGGTTTGACTTTGACGGCTGCCACGGACTACAACGTCCAACTATACAAATTAACAAGCAAAATCAATCAATAAATAAATAAACATCCCAACACTCATATATCAAATCAGGACTCGAGATAACAATAAAAGAAGGGGGAAACATAAAACCATCAGGTATGCAGATCGTGAGACACATAGTTGTCATTCTCACTGCCTCCAAAGTATGGCCCATATACCAAGCTCCAAAATACTAACCTGCATAAAACACAGGCACACACAATAGCCACATTGCCATACACCAATGTGGTCAACTTTACTGTTCCTTGTAACTCTCACCACGCCTCTCACACTCGAGCCCCAGTTATAGTTCAACTTTTCATAAATCTCATAAATTCTTTATAATGGTCATTTAAAAGAAGTCCGGTTAAAACCCTCAAAGAAACATATCACATTTCAGGGCTAAGGCAATCAAGTTGAGGTACAGGTATAAGCAAAGTTGTGTCGTGAGCCGATAAGTCGACGATCAACCAACCGATTTGTTATCAGTGATAACAAAAGATGATCCTCGTAGGATCAGGCTGAAACTAGTCCAAATCCTAGATCGAATGCCCAAAGAAGACTTGTATCATACGACAGGTCAATATCCAAGCCAAATCGTCAATGTATGGAGATCAAATCCCCATGACACGTTCTCACTCAAGACTCTCCTAATAACCAAGCCTAGGTCTATCTCTAAGTCAGTGCCCAAAGAAAGGTAGACCTATGGCAGAATCTCCCCCATACAGAGTGGATCGCCAGAGTCGCCACCTGTCAAAATATAATTTATCTCCTCTAAACTTAAAAAAATTTCGGCAGCGCTTCCCGTAGGAAAAGTCTGTCTCTTATACACATCTAGATGTGTATAAGAGACAGGCATAATCCACCTTATCCATAGTGATCGCCAGAGTCGCCACCTGTCAAAATATAATTTATCTCCTCTAAACTAAAAAAATTTCGGCAACGCTTCCCGTAGCAAAAGTGTCTTTCCAGAATTTATATCAGCCTAGATATGAAAACAGAAATAATCTTCGACCTTTCAAAGTCAATTTTTGTCTAACTCCCTGATTTAGTAAAAATTTGGGCAACACTCCCTTTAGAAAAGGAGACTTCCCAGATTTTTACTAAGCCATATATAAAAATAAGACAAGTTGAACTTTTGAAAAGTTAAATTTTGACTAACTCCTTGGATTTCCAAAAATTTCGGCAAGGCTTCCCGTAGAGAAAGTAGCTCACTAAATTTTATACAAAGCTAAGTTCAAAATTTAAAACGACTTTGACTTCGCAAGGTCCAATTTTATCTAACTCCCTGAAGCAACAAAAATTTAGGCAGCACTCCCTTTAGAAAATGAGGCTTCCCAAATTTTTACTAATCCAAAGAGTCAGGCAAACTGAACTTTGAAAAGACAAAATTTGACTAACTCCTAGGTTTTGTAAAAATTTCGGCAACGCTTCCCGTAGAGAAAGTGGCTTACCAAGATTTATACAAGACCAAGTATAATAAAAGATCCCAGAAAATGTTGAAATATACCTAAGTAAAAATAAACTTAGCTCAGAAAATGAACTAACTCCTATGGCTCTAGCACGTGGCGAGCAATTGAAGTAACTACCTAATTGAAACTCAGACTCAGTAGTAATCTCGCTCAGCCACATGCAGGCCAAACCATAAAGGTAAGTACCCTCACCAGCCCAAGTCAATCTTGGCAACCAATAGTTCATGGTTTTTCAATGATTCATCCCTTTATACCCAGCTTACATAGGGCATCGAGTTAGGTCATTCGTCTTAGAAACAATGCCGACTCTTTGCCTTAGTTATACACGAACAGGTTGCACAACTACTTCTATCTTCATTGGGCATATGACTAAGCCATTCGTCTTAAAAACAATGCTTAGTCGCACTGATCGATTTAATATCCAAATTTTAATAACTTTCTGACTTCGTTCTCAAAAGAAAATGCAAATATGGGCAAGGGACTGAACCATTCGACTTGGAAACAATGTTCAGCTTGCCAGACTACTTCCAATTATACTCTGTAATTTCCCTTCTCTTCTTAGCGATATGGCTTAGCGTTGGACCATTCGGCTTGGAAACAATGCCCAGTTGCCAGTTCACATGCAAATATAAGTAAAATACTTTCTTTTATACTCGGTTTATATTTATGTGCGTGGTTTTCAGGCTAAACCATTCAACTTAGAAACAATGCTCAGCCTTAGACCAAAATCCTCCCTCAGAATAAAACAAGAACTTAAACCTTTCAATTCACGCAAACCCTCAGAAATTAAACACAGCAACTAGACCATTCAGCTTAGAAACAATGCCTGGTCCTTCATAAAACAGCCAAATAAACATAGCCCTGGGCCATTCAGCTTAGAAACAATGCCCAGTCCTTGGTTGACCCGGTCAAACGCATGCAGTCTGCTTTTCTCCCACCTTCATTCCTTTGTCTGCTTTCAATCAAAATAAAGATAAAACTTAAACTTCACTCTCATACATTCCTTCCATTCAATCTGATTAAGTCCTGAAAGAAAGCAAAGTCATAGGGGCAATCCCAGGCATACATCAGTCGAACTAAAAGGAGATAAGCAAACATGGGTATAATGGGGTCATACAGATAGGACGTTGGATTACCTGATAGTTCCCTGCCTCCAGAACCTCGCCTAGGTTCCGACAGAGCTCCCGCAATCGGTGGGTTGACTCCCCACAGAGTCTTGCTGCGGTCCTACGGGTTGCAATCCCGCGTGCCGCCTTCCTCTCAGAACAGGATTAGACTGAGAGTTAGAAAGATAGAATGAGGGGTTTCAGACTCCCGAGATACAGGAGGGGGACTGACTGAACTCCCTAGAGAGGGCCTTGACACCTTCACTCGCCTGAGGACCCCGCAATGGTAGCTAAAACGGAGCAACAACTTTGTCAATCAAATTCAAATAGCCTGCTGTTAACTTCTCTGTTGATTCTCTAAATCCCAACAGCAACCCCCTTGCGGAGCCTCGTGACCCAGAGTATCCTGGCCACAAGCATGTCTGCAGCCCCTTGGCCTTCCTGTCGCTGCCTTTCTTCGTGGGTAGTATGACCACCGGCTAGCCACATAGCCTGCACCTCTTAGTTGACCTGCTGTAGCTTTATTCTGCAGCGTACAGCGCTGCCAACCAAACACAGAACCTGCATTCTTCACTCCTCGCCTTTCGTCACTCCGACCAGATTCGAGCACCGTACCGTCGAGCAGGTAAGTATGTAGTTCTCGCAACTGGTCTTCCAGCGTGCATTGGCTAGTGGCATAAATAGCCAACAAATAATTTTTATCTCCCTTACTCTAGCCTTCACACTAGGGTCGGCGATCACATGACAACGCATTGTTTGACAAGTCTCCAAGCCCAGTGAACCTTCCACCGGACATACGCCAGCTAGCAGGTAAGCTTCTGATCCCCTCAACTGTGCTTTACTCTACTTCCTTCGGTAGAAGAAGCTTACCCGGGAGAACCTACCCCCGGGGTACAGGCAGCGATACAGACCGTAATTCGGAGTACACTGATCGTGACTTCGTGACCCCATGTTGAAACCCAACCCATATAGCCTGTAACCATTATTTGCAGTTATCGGGGTCAATACCGCGCCTGGTGTGCTATCGAGTTCCTACAACAGCCAATGTGCAGTCCGTTGTCACAACGGACGTACTCTATCGGAAAAACAAACACAGGGATATACTTCACTGTTCACTCCCGCATGCAGAGAGCAAGAAGGAGCCGCCACTCAGACGTACATGGCTTAGTCATGAGGCAAGCCATAAAAGTGCTACAAGCCTTGCTCCTTGTACTTGCAGGTGTGCTTCCCCTCCATAGGCTAGTTCCAACGGCAAGATGCAACATACCAACCAGTCCAACACAGCCTGCCACCTCCGCTCACTCGACTGACTGTGAACAACACGTTCCCGCTTTTCTGGTTGCGGGCAGCACCCACCCGCTTGACCTGTTGTGAACAGCATGTTCGTGCAGTACTAGCTGCGAGCAGCCTGCTCCCGCTCTCTCCTTCAGCCCATCGGTGAGCGACATACCAGCCAGCGGACAATTCTGCAACCCCACCAGATAAATCCTCTGGTCCCTTCGCTCCTCTTTTCCTCTAACACCCACGCACCCACCTGTCGGGCACTCCCATTGATTGGATGGAAAAAAATCCGTCACCAAAATGCAGTCGGGTGCATCTCTTGGGACGAGCCACGCACCGACCAACAGGTAAGTTGCCAACCTCACGGCTCAACTCCTTCTCCGATCGGTATCTTGTTACACTTGCCGCCAGATCCATACAGATGGCGAAGACTACTGTGACATCGCGATGAGAGGGATAAAGGAGACAGATGATCACCACCCGTCTCTAGATGATGGCGAGAAGCGCCAGCCCGATGCCCTGCATACTCAAGGAGTGACAAACGAGGCGAATCTTCCGCTGAAACGTGGGCGGATATGGCGCAACTATATAATGACACTGCTCAAAAACTAACTTTTGAAACTCAAATCTAGCCCCGCCATCGGCCCATCGTATTCGCCCACCCCAAAAACCATAGATTAGCATCCTCACTCACCTGTTTCCATGGAGAATCGAGTGAGCTACCCCTTTTCCCCTTTCGTCATCCTCCACTTCCGCCATTTCTCGCGCGGCTCTTTCTCTCCTAACCTCCTTCTATACTAACTTTCTACTAATTACGACCTCAGATGTAGTGTCGCCTGCCCTTAAAACCCCTATATTGACTCTTTCCCTGCCCGATTCCATCAAGGAACGGGCAGGCTATACGGTTTTTACCTCTGCCAAAGCCGCCTTTATGCTACGTCCGCGCAACCTCCACTGCTTGTACCGGTCAGACCTTTGTCCAAATCGGGAATCTAACATGGCCATTCAACTCGGAATGGTCAAAAACCTCGAAATCGAGTCTTTACTTGCCTGTTTTCATCAAGAAACAGGCAAGTTACACAAATTTAAGTTTCTGCCCCACCACCTTTCTCACCATCTCCACGCACGTCATCTTCCTAACTCACCTCCTACACCACTAACACCAAAACTAACACTGCCACTACCTTCGCCCTATGCCAAGACCCGAGTCTACTATCTTTCCCCGCTCGTTTTCATCAGGAAACGAGTGGGACATGCATCTTTCCCCTCAGCCATAGCTCCCTCTCCCGTTTCTGCATTCTTTCTTCCCCGTATGCACCTTGTGCAGAGCGCTGTCCAGATTCGTTTCCTTCTTTCTCTTTATTTACTGCCTTGCTCACGGTGTCTCCGACCGCCTTGCTCAATGCCTGTGCCCAGCCATGCGCTAAACTGCGGTCCAACGCAGACACGACAACAAGTGCGACCGATATAGGCAGTGGGGTGGTGATCATGAAGGTCGACATCCGCTAAGGAGTGAGTATCAACTTACTTCCAAATCCGCCTGCCCGTCAGCTCAAGGTGCTGAGGCGTGTAGTCCACGTTTGTGCTGTTCAGGCCAGCCCCGCCAGCCCGGTTTCTTTTGTCCCGCTCTGCCCAGGCAGAGCTCACCACCTCTTAGTTCCCTAACAGGCCTGCCCCCACTCACCTTTCCCACACAACCGATCACAGGATTGGGGTTGTGGCCTCACTGCAATCTGTAGCGTGAGGCTTGGTGACGTGGGCCGTGGTGCAGATCTTAGTGGTAGTAGCAAATATTCAAATGTGAACTCTTGGGGCGGAGTGGGGACATGTCATATAGGAACAGCTGTTGGGACAGTTCTGCCGCACATCCAAAACTGCGGCAGCCTCCCACCTGTACCCCGCCCAGACGTAGTTCACCATCTTACCTGTCCAAGCAGGCATGCTCACACACAACCTCTCACGACAGGTCGTGGTTGGTGGACGGTGGACCCGCAGCCACCCCCGTTACTCAGCTTTCTCCCGCACCGTGGACCAACCCAAAGGGCGATCACCCAAGGTCCTCGACTGCCTTGTCGGCCACCGTGGGGATTTTCAATCATTCCTCGTTGTAGAGAAGTCCCGCCAGCATCCCGAACATGAAGAAAAATTATAACGGGCCCGCAAAAAAAAAAAAAAAAAAAAAAAAAAAAAAAAATCAGAAAAATATGAAACAAATATATGTTATGCCCGAAAAAAAAAAAAAAAAAAAAAAAAGGCATGTTCAAGGTCCTCCACTGCTGCGACGACCACCCATGTCCGACGACATAGCAAGTGAGTCAGGTCCGTCGGTCTGTCGGTCCTAACGCCGGTTTCGCAGCCGATCTCTGAGTCAAAGGCACAAAATAAAAGTGGGAATAATAATAATAATAGTAAAAATACCAATGCATAAAAATAAAATGCGGGGAACACCAAAATTAAGGGGGACGAGAGGTTGCGCGTCCCTCTAGCCTACAACGCCGTGCACACCCTGGCCGCACAGGGTTGCATCCCACCATCGACGAGGCTCGCACGCCGCTCGTCCATACAGGACTAGACTCTCTCCCGCAAGTACTCCGCCAACTCCGGATGAGGCCGTATCGGCGCGACTTGCGCGAAGCACGCCAAATACCCTTGTATGGGTATTTGGTACGACAACGGCATGGGGGAAAAGTGATTGGGCAAGCTCTTTGTATAGAAGAGTTGTTCCTATCACTATCGTGATAGGAGCTAACCTAGTTGGTTACGATGCCAGACTTGCCCAGCAGATACCGGGCTCAAGCCCGGCCGCACAAATCCTACTGAGCCAGCTCCTTTTGGAGCAGCCACAACGTGAGGTTAGGCGCGGCCGATTTCGGTCGTGCGATCTTCGAGATCGCGCGGCTGAAATCAGCCACGCTGAGATTAGCATGGCCCCTGCGCAAGGATGACATGCATACATCGAGAACCGGTCCAATAAATTTTCGATCCCATCAGGCATCGAACTCGGGTCGGTGTTTCAACAGGGAGAGGGGTTTCTACGAAGTGACCGTTGGCAGGGCCAACGAGAAAAATGAGAAAAAAAAAAATAATAAATAAATAAAAATCAAATGAAACGAAGCGCCACGTGGCGCATACGGAAGTGACTGGGGACTATAAGTCCCCAGAGTTGTAGCAAGCGCCCGTCGTGAATGGGCAGCCGTTTTGTTTTCTGAGGTAAGTTTTTTCTCTTCTTTTTGTTTTTTTACTTTTTATACTTTTTTTTTTTTTTTTTTTTTTAAAGGACGACAACCTTGAGATATCCACATCGAACTGACTGGGCCCATGTAAATTCAGAGATATTTTACTCATTTGATTCTATTTGGATTCAAACTCAGAGATATTAAACTTTTTTAGATTCTTAGATTTGCTTTAGATTTTTCTTAGATTTTGTTGTTTTATTTTTATTTTTATTAGTAAGATTAGTAAGTGCCCCTTCATTTTCAACGAACGGGCTGCTACTTTAGATTAGGATGAGCAAAATCGAACGAATCTGCCGCCATAAGGCGGCCACGTTCTTAGTGCGGGATGGGCCACGAGGGACTCTCCGCATAGGTGGCTTTTGGCTGCCAACGACGGTTGCGACTGTTCAAAGAGAGAGAGAGAGAGAGAGAGAGAGAGAGAGAGAGAGAGAGAGAGAGAGAGAGGCGGAATCCTACCTGGCGTGTGGCAGCCCAATGTTCATAACGACGTTGCTTTTGCCCTTGGACGTGACTCTTTCACGTGCGCCTGAATCTGGCACGTTTCTTGTGCTCGATGCAGGCGCACAGGCAGAGGATCAAATTTTGGGAAGCCAACTAGAGAGAGCCCGTTCGTCTGGAAACGGGCAGCTCTCTTGGGCCACGCGCCTGAATGAGGTGCTCATCATGCGCCAGATACAGGCGCAAGGCAGGGGAAAAAGGGACCCTACTGAGCATGACTCTAGTTCGACTCTGGGAAATGACAAGGGTGGCAGCTCGTTTTGGGAAACGATCTTCCTCTGCTGCAGAACGTGGCCGCGGTCGTGGAACAGGTGCAGCCCCCAAAAGCTTCTAGGGAGTGATGGGACTGGGCCTGTTCGTTTGAGCACGTAGCGGAAAAATGGCTGAGTACAACCATTTCCAGGAGCACCTGGCCTGGGAAAACGGCCAGATACTCCTGGGGGTGGATGACCTTGGTCCCCCTAGGGGAAAACCAAGGCTCCTAGCTCCTGGCCGTTGATTTAGATCAAGGGCCAAGAGCACTGACGAATTTTGCTTGGCAGTGGGCAAAGTAGCCGCCCACATGCCTTCAGCTGGCTATAAAAGCAACACTCCACCCATCAGCTTCACACGTATGGCAGTGCTGCTGGGCCATTCACTTGAGTGAATTGTTACGATCCTGGCCAATTTTGAAGTATACATTCATCTGAAAGTACAATGCCATCCAATTGCAAAAAGAAATGAATGAACTTCAGAGGAGAAAGAGGGAAAGAAGAAGAAGAAAAAATAAGAAAGAAGAAGAAGATGATGTACTCCAACATAGACCAGTGACAAGGCTTTTCTTCTTCGCCCACCAATCTCTTCCTCCTTATCTCCTCCCCTCTTATTCAAACAAGAAATAACAATAATAATGTTGAATGACTGAACCATAATCAATGTCCGAATCCCACTTCTACTGCAGGCACTACATGAGGTCCACCATAGCCATGACCACCCTTCCTCTTCCTCTACATACACGTCGAGGCTATGGCGGACTACTGCGGCTTCAGCCTCCTGTCCAAAGGACAACCCAAAGCAGCTATGTTGCTGCCCCACTTCAAGGTCATCACTATGCAGCTACGCCGCTGCCCACTCAGCCACCATGCCTTACTCTGTCCCCAGCTTCCTTGATGCGGCACTACCCCCACTGGGGCCTTCCTGATGAAGCGCCTAGCAAGGTGTTGAAGATGGTGTCTACCATAGCCAGGTAAGTACCTCACCACTCTCCTCCTTGGTCCCCTTCTCCCTCCTCCTCCTATCGGTAGAGCTCCACCATAGCCAAGGTGGAAGCTCCTGGCTTCTTCCTCCCAGTAGCGTTGTAGTACCCAGCGCCACTCCAGCCAGCGCTCCAGCAGCGTGTCGCCAAACTTGCACACTGAAGAATGAGGCCGAGCTCTTGCCTCGGCCTCTTGATATAGCGGCCTGCTTGCCTCCTGGGCGGTGACTTCCAGGCCGCTCGGCCTCCCAAGCAACCGGTACCTCCTCCTTTTCGGAGGGAAACATCATTGCAGACTCTGATATTGCACGTACAGGCTCTAGACTCAGACTGGATGGACTGGTACCGGCCTAGACCTAGCCTACCGCTACTGGGCCTCTATTTTTTTTTATTTTTTTTTTGGAACGAAGCTCCAATCTATTTGTGGGGAGCAGCACATGCTGGGAACCGGGCCCAGCGTCCCATATGAAAATTTACTTACACTTTTGAAAATTGTGAACATTGAGATACCAAAGCCATTACCCGGCTTTGGCTAAGAAAAATCGAGTTACTTAAAAAGTTACTCCGTCAGACTTCAGAAAAATTCAGAATCAAACCCCCCCATCAATCCTCTTTACCACACTCCGGCAAGACTTACTGCAACAGAGCCACCATCTCCCCTGCTGCTATGCCCTATTTCTGTTCTACGAGCTAGCCCCTTTACTGGTAGAACGCTTATTTTCCAGCCATCTACTTGTCCCACTCACCTTCTTGAAGAAGAAACAAGACGTGCACAATTCCGGAAAAACTCAGACACCCCCAGCCAATCCCTTATCCCCACTCCGGCAAGACTTACTGCAACAGAGCCACCATCTCCGCTGCTGCTGTACCCTATTCCCATCCTACCAGCTAGGCTCACTAGTAGGACGCATGATCTCCCACCGTCTCCTTCTCCCACTCACCTGATCTCTTGTTTGAAATACAGCTAAAAAAACATCTGAAAAACGAATGAGAGTAAGCCCTGGCTGCAGTCATCCAGCAAAAATTCCTTCTCAACCCTACTCCGGCAAGACTTACGGCGGTAGAGCCACCATCTCCACCGCAGCTGTACCCTATTTCCACCCTATTGGCTAGCCCCTTCGCCACAGAGTGCATTATTTCCAGCCATCACAGCAACACGGTCCACTGCAACCAGCATCAAGATTGTGAAGATTTTTTTTTTTAAGAATCGTAGTCATCTAAGGCATATTTAATCCCACAAGAAAAGAAGACGGGAGGGGACTTCTTCTCTCCTCATGAAAACTCCTACGCCTATTCTCATCTCTGCTGGATGTAAAAAGCTCACAAGAAACCGAACGGTTTTCTTCTCCCCCCCAAAAAGCGACCCCCTGCCCTTTTACTGCCTCCACTGAAAGGCACCCCCTCACCTTCCGGCCCCAGCTCAGAGCAGCCCCCTAAATCACTCCTGCCCCCTCAGCAGC